GAAATACACACCATCAGGAAGCGACGTGAACTATATGTCTGCGCCCGTGTACATGAGATATGCCAGAACACCAAATGAACAGGTTACAATGTAAGACCTACTGGATCCAGATCTGACTGAACCCCGACAAGACTAAACCAATGCTTAAGATAATTAATTACCGTGGAGAGATCAAAACGCCGCCCATCATTTAGAAAAAGAAGATAGGACGCACGTTGTCGCTGGAACATCCCACTCTGGGAGGACTTTCGCCCTCGTGAATTTGCAACAGTTCAAGCCAAAGCATCATCTTATAAACAGATGATGCCCAGGAGTGTGCTCCTCCCTAATCACCGGGAATGGCGGCACGATCTGAGGACTAGTACAGTTCCCTTCCGGTGGTAATAACATACATATGCCGATAAAAGCCCATGGATTTACTACTAGCATATTAACGAATTTATGGATCAGTCCTCGTACCTGTGATCGATATTGGTGTAGTGGCTACTGCAATTATGATGGTGCATGACAGTGACAAGTGTAGTATTATTTGTTCACGTCATCAAGGTAATAAGCAATAGACTCTTCCGCTGTCTCTTCTCAGTGACAGCTTCATCAAAAGCCGAGAGTTCATTTTGTAATTGTAATGGTTTTCAAGAGTTTAGCTAATATAAAGCTGCTTTTGTTTCCGATACACGCCATCCCTTCATTGACAAGAAGTAATTTTATTTTCGACGCTGCGTTGACCTTCAACTTGGCATACCATCATATTGGTTTCTCTCCATCCCAGCTCCAATTCCATGGTCTTTGATGTAGAGTTTCACGTAGGTTTTCGCGTCTTTTCTTCCGTAGTGATCACTGTAGACAGTCGATTAGAGTCCCATTACAACATACATTCCTTCAGGTAACATTACCATGCATATAAACAGCACTTGTAGGGTAGGTATTGAGTGTGAACGCATGACCCATAATATTTCGAGATCCTGAAATTCTAGTTAACGAGGACATATTTTCCAAAACATGTAATTTTCACGATGCTTTACATGTACTTTATCACGATCGACAAAAACACTAAACCCACTTTGTCAATTCACCCCAATTCACCCCAGGTTACAGAACAGTGAGTGAGTGAGTTTAGTTTTACGCCGCTTTTAGCAATGGTCTAGCAATATCACGGCGGGGATACCAGAAATGGGCTTCACACATTGTACCCATGTGGGGAATAGAACTGGGTCTTCGGCGTGACGAGCGAGCGCTATACCCACTAGGCTACCCCACCGCCCGTACAGAACTATGCTGTAATATAAAAACAGTGAGTGATTAATTTCCCTACCCGCCTCGTTAAGCAATATGCCATGGATTTGACAGGATACATCATGACAGGATATGCAAGTGTGGCCCTCTCATGGTGTAACTATGATGGGAATCGAACCTGCGCATCGGCAGGGAGAGCAGCGCATGGTCTACTTCACTAACCCGCAGCTTTGACCAAATGCTGTGATAACCAGTCAACATTATACTCCACTGATTCCATGTTGATAATTAGAAGGACAAAATATATTATATAAAAATTAACTATACAAACATGTCCCAAATCACATGCTATAATGATACGAAAACCTTGCTCTATAAGATGAGTGTGAGTGAGCAAATGCTTTAACCACTAGGCTACCCCACCGCCCCTAAAAGATGAGTGTGGAGGTTCTGACCATATCATAAGCATGTTTTATGAGGTGAGGTGAAATTGGGATTAACGTCGTGCTTGAGAATATTTCGCTCATATGACGACGTGCATGCGTGTGTATGTGTATGTGCGGCTGCTTGTACTAGCCAAGACTTAAGCTGGTTTTATAGTCCTAGCTCACTGAGATACCATACCGCAGTGAAGCATGAATACCCCACTCAGGCACAGTATACTGACTCCGAGCCGACCAGTCCTTGTTGTACCCATTAATGCCGAGCGCCAGGCAGGGACCAACAAGTACCATATTTTAACATCTTTTGGTATGAGGCTGTCGGGGATCGAACCCGCGACCTTCCGCTCTCCGGGCGGACGCTCTAACCACTACACCACGGAGGCGGTCCCATGTTTTATGAATCACTGTCATACAACCAGCACCTGTTCCTCACAGCGTTCTTAGAGCTACGACTGTCCTAAATCAGTTTAAATGTATGGTACATGTAGTAACGATCCAGGATTTTGCATAGTTTTTCTAACAAATCTAACCCGAAAATTCCACTTAAAATCGTGTGTGAGTTCCGATTACTTTTCTTGGCCCGTTGTGTTCTATTCGAAGCAGAACTACCGAATTCAGGAACGCAAGGGGATAAAATGACGCTGTTCTTGACCTTGGCTTTTGTCACCTCTGTCCAAACAAATGCAAAACAATACCCGGCCATGGCTATCCTCAGATACAAAATTTGGTGTAAAGTGTCCAACAGCTGTGAAAACGTATGAATGGACCACTGAACATCAGTGATGGCACCATCTGTCAGTGTAAGTTCTACCCTAGTAACACAATATACCACAAAACTATTCAGAGCCTGTCTCTGCACAGCAGTACAACTTTCTTCTGTAGAGGGAGTCATTAATATTACTGACGGGATTAATAATATTGACATATCTACAGTACTTAAGTGAGGAGACAATGCTAAAATATTTGGCCTGGGTCGCAGCTAATGATAACAACATGGTATAGTGTTTCTTGGCGAGTGAAAAATACATGGTTCTAAAACCATTATCAATTTAATTCAGTAAAATTGATCAATTCAATTTGCATTTGAAACCTATAAAGCGAGCATCAATAATTGCCTCAACGTGAGGCTATAGTGTATGGCTTTGATTCGTATCGCTGCCTCACCACTGAGATGCAGCTGTATTGCGACAGAGAATACTGCAGCAACCCTAAAACCGAGTGCTACCATACTTTGTGAGATTGTGTAGGATGGTTGGTGGTTGGTCCGTCTATGTCACCGCTAATGGCATGCTGACATGCCTTCCTCAGTTGGAAATTTATCATTTTGGGTTGGAATGCCGGTCCGCCGTGAATATATTCTAAATTTGTGAGCATCATACCTGTACTAAAACCTGCCTCATGTCGTGTATTCCACGAAACAGTTCGGGACGATGGGGTAGCCTAGTGGTTAAAGCGTTCGCTCGTCACGCCTAAGACCCTGAATCGATTCCAACATGGGTACAATGTGTGAAGCCCGATTCTGGTGCATCCCGCCGTGATATTGCTGAAATATAGCTAAAAGCGTCATAAAACTAAACTCACTCGAAGCACTTCGTTGACATACCGCGAAACAACAAAAACGACGTTGAGAGCGATGTCAATACGCAAATTCATTCAAATCACAAGAGGGACTGGATCTGACTTTAAGCCACCTTTAAGCCAAGTTGGTATGCTATACAGAATATAAAGAAAGGGTTTAGTTTACATGATTGGGTGTTACTACGAAATTACTTAGATTCCAGAAGCATGTGTACTGGCAGTGAGTGAGTGAGTTTTACGCCGCTTTTAGCAATGTTCCAGCAATATCACGGCGGTGAACACCAGAAATGGTCTTCACACATTGTACCCATGTGAGATATCGAGCCCACCGATCTGTAAAGACAGTGCTTGTCCTAATACACTAGTGCATGTCAGCTGATTCACGCCGTCGGGTAATGTCAAGTCTGCCAAGGTTTAAACTTGTCACCATCCTATCATCATAAATTTAAACTGTAAACCATGCCACATATCACGGGATCTTTACCAAGATCACCCACAAACGAATATATTCTCGCCTAAGACCCCACACTGAACGCAGACTAATATGTATTAAATCTAAGACTTCATATGAGTCAGGGCTAAGGAGACCTTGTCACGCAAACTCTGCATTCAAAATATACACTTATGTTAAAAAGTGAATCCTTCCTTGTTAACTTGATATAAGTCCACAAAACCGTGAGCGGAGTATGTTTGGATTAGCGTGTGTGTCGTTGGTAGCGGAGTCTTTTATTCTTGAATAAAAACTAAGTTGTCACCCACGGAGACCAAAGTGAAGGAATATATTGCAACAGTAACGAACAACTAAACAAGTGATGTAAAACTGTGATGTGACTTGACTGAGTGCACAAAGTGTATCTTCTTATCGGCCATGGCTGCAAGCATCGCTTCATCACAAAGAATCATCCTGATACATTCCCCCGCATTTGTTATCTAATTACTTTGTATTAAACGTTATCATTGATGTTTTGATACAACTGTGCTTCTTTTATCCATGCATCGGCAAGCCGCACATGACATCGCTTCGGTTTCAGTCAGAACATCAGCATTAATCAATTAGGAAAACTGCAAGTACTTTTAAATAAATTAAGGTTATCCCCAAAGGAAAGGAAAATAGCCTTAACCCACAATAGTCGTCTTGTTACTTGGGTCGTGTTTGACCACATACTACAACGCTCGAGAACAAACCGTGTTCAGCGGAAGGATCGCATGCGTGGATAAATCGATTATTACAACACTTTTAGAGTTATCGAGATTAAGTAACTCTCTCCCATTAGTAGCAAATCAACATTACACTGAGCAAGGTGGTTTCGATATAACAATAGCATAGAGCTGACAAGTTTGTTTAATGCACGAGAGCTTTCACAAGGGGGATTTCCATGATCAGGTCGAATTAATGGTGCTGTTATTTCAAGATTAAAGGCTGCAGCCAATAACACGAACTATTTTCCGAAGGGACAATCTGACTGTGCCGTTTCACGCTCTGTCCCTAATGCAACAAAGAGGTATATCTACACAACACAACACACTAGCCGCTGATGCCACATCGCGATCAGAACCACGGACTACAACCTATACCAGCGGATTGATTGCTGCACAGCGGAAAGGCATTGTGCGTGAGGCAGCCCACTCGTTCTTGTCTCCTCCAATAACTGATGCAAGAAAGGTAGCGGCTCTACAACCGATTGGCATCAATAACGCCTTCCTTTGGTTGATGACGTGGGCTTGGTGTCAGAGGGGATGTAAGCTAGTCTTGTCACAACTTTTTCTCACTCGTTGTCCCTATATAAGTTTGCAGCAACTGACTTGCCGTTGTAACTGCCCGTGTGTCAGGCTGCAAGCACCAGATCCCTCCCTCTCCAGTGGGGCTTTTTCTTTAAAACCACGATGTCTTCTTTCATAAATTCGCTCACACTGGGAGTTGTTGTGGTTTTAAGTGTCCTCAGTTGTGGTTTGGGAGAAGATCAAGTTGCCAGTGTAACGGGTGACAAAGAAAAATCGGACTTTTCTCAGAGGACATTAGACTCAGTACATGTTTTGAAAAAAAGAGCCCCAGGCTGGGGCAAGCGGTCACTGGAGGATGATGTAGACAGTGACGACGATATGTCTTATGACAGTGAATCCCCCGAGGACATTTTATCACGTGCTGATCTTTCCAAACGCGCGCCCGGTTGGGGCAAACGTACCTTAGATATTCTAGAAGATTACACCAAACGAGCACCCGGCTGGGGTAAGAGAGACTCTCTAGATGTTAAACGTGCACCTGGATGGGGAAAACGAGATATCGATATGGACAAACGTGCACCTGGATGGGGCAAACGAGCACCTGGGTGGGGCAAACGTGCACCTGGCTGGGGAAAACGGGCACCTGGCTGGGGAAAGCGTGCACCTGGTTGGGGCAAAAGAGCACCTGGATGGGGCAAACGCTCTGACACATCATGTGCTGGAATCGACGAGGAGGTTGACTATTACATTTACAGAGCTGTCCAGGTAAGAGTTTTCTTTGTGATTATATCTTCTAAATTTTAACCATCTTATAAATCTATCATTTGCAGTGAGATATTTCTACCATATAAGTGAAATTAAAGAAAAATAACCTAGACGAACACTACAACTCGATACTGGAAGTGATGTAGATATTGTAACTTCCTATGAAGGCAGTGAAATCAATATTTCCTATCTCATCCTTGCTAATGTAAATTTACCCTTCTACAGTACTGTTGTGTTTATCAAATCTCCCTCTCCTCCCTCCCGATAATATTTCCTCTATTTGTTCTACATTTGAGGTTTCAAATTAGCCTGGTAGAGTCAATATTCTTCATGTTCAACATACGGTCGCACTAAGCTCATAAAACCGCTGATCACTGGGGCCCTTGCATTACATATTCCTCCTGAGTGTAGGATTGATGATGATTTCATTGTCATTCATGCATTATTTTAAAGTGATAAATGATTATGAGATAACCTTTCATCGTCCGTCATCTCCCACGTCCAATTATGAACACTTTTAGTTTGCAGATTGGGCAATAATGGTCAGAATGACAAAGGGTTTATTGCTTAAAAAGTGAATAATAACATAAGAACGATTCTATCATGTAATTGCTTTTTACAAATCACCCCTCTGTATAATAAAATAAGAAATTATGTATTCGGAAGCCAGTGCCCATTTTCGTTTTCATATCTTTTTACTAAATTTAAATAACCATGAATTTGACATGAAATGAATGTCACAATGTGTGACTGACACGATGACACGTGTTGCAAAAGTAAACAGAACACAAACTAGATTTGGTCGTGCCCCTTCGAACATATGCAATCGTAAAATGTTAAGCAAAAGCTAGTGCAATCTACAAAGAGAGGCGTAAAGGAATTAATATCATTTTATAGACAATATCCCTAATAAGCAAATGTCAGAGACTGTTGCTCACATCAGCTGTCATACTAACGCGGTTATTGCCGAGAACGTGAGTCTTCGCGATCAGGGATATAGTAAAGCGTCGCAGTAGAAAGGGAACATGATTATTGCATGTGTTCGTTGGCTATGGTTCTGCAGAATGGACAAAGTACATTTATATGGATTTCTATATATAATTTCTAAATCAACGAAGACTCGTATCCCTGTGTCTCTAAAACACGTTGTGTGTATCTGAGCACAGAAGACTTCAGGTTTCGTTCTCGTTTCGCTCTTTGATTTTCACCTAAAAAAGTTCATCTTAAAACTGGTTATGCTGTTGATGTCGTTGATATAACCCCATGATTGTCCTTGCTGAAAGCTTTGATTTGCCCCTTATTAATGCATGAATATACACAGGGTTTAACAGTACTTTCAGAGAGAGACGTTGTTATGTACAGAAAGCAGTAACACAAAAGTTGAGTTGAGTGTCATATTTTCATTTGGTGTTTTAGGTTACATGTTTACTCTCTGTGTATACACTGGAACTAACTATATAATACCATTTCAGCCACAGTTATTCATACATTTTGTTAAACCAATTTGATTCAGATAATGTTTAAGTAAAACAAATTGAAACTACGTCATACAAAAGTGTACGTTTTAATGTTTCCTTCTATATGAAATGAACGCATGCAACATATATACACGCGGTGCTTATAGCTTCCCGTAATGCCGTATGACGTTTCTGCATGACGTTTCTGCATGACGTTTACACATGCCATCATTACAGACTGTGCACGTAAGGATACTTTGTTGCTCCCCCAACACACACGGAGATGCATATTCAACCTTCAAATAAACCATACCACGAAAACAATCACTATTAATACCGTTTAATTCAGTTAAAAATGAGTGAGTGGTGATACGTAGGCTCCTGCACATGACGTTTCTAGGCGACAAGGCGTCCTTGAGAAAAGAAGACCTGTTTTGATGTTTGAATCATTTGAATCTAAATACACGATCGTAAATCGATTACAAATGTTACATTTTCTATTTTTCTCCAAAGTGGTGTCTCCAAACTGTGCGAGAAGGTAAATAAATATATTAAGTGATGATGATGATGATGATGATGATGATCATCATCATCATCATCATCATCACCATCTTCATTATCGTTATGAATACCATTTTCTCTAACAGGAACGGTAACTACGAGTATGGAAATATTAAGATATTTTTTCATAAGCGGCGAAGATCAATATTTGTCTTTTCAATTAAAAAAGTTACAGTGAGTGAGTGGCGTTTATCGACGCTTTGAACAGTAATCAATTATGTCAGCTTAATGTGGAAGGAAAGCCCGAAGTGTCCGACTCTTACTAGTTTGGTAAAACCCACGTGGACGGATATTGCGTTGACAAACCGAGAAACAGAAAAGAGCCAAACCGGGACTCGAACCAAGGCTTCCCTTCAAGGGACGCAACTCTGCACAGCTAGTTGCGGCACTTTTGACGACAGGACCATCCGTGTCCCCTTAATCATGACGATCCTATGTTAAAATTCGTCAAAAATATGTATTGGGCATTTTTCTCAATCTACTGTAACCGTCCTCACTAGATGCATTGCACTAGATTGGATGTTTGAAAACCTATCATTTCCATGCGGTTGTGAGAACAAAATTAATGTACAGCAAACTCATGTTTCTATATTTGCTGCAGGAAGGAAGTTCAGCTATCCAACTGCAGCTCTCAATATGAATATACAGAATCCATGCTTATGATGTAATATTAGATATACTGACATTAACAAGGTGTTTAGGCGACATATATTTGATTACATGCGCAGCATAGTGTCTGGACGCGGATTGAGAAATTTATTGAATGAAATTATCGTGACTTGCGTACTGGGTAATATTTTTCTCAAGCCAAAACGTTTCGAACACCTTGCGTAGCCAGCGATGTTGAAAACCCAATTTGATAAAGATAATTTAAATTCGACATGAAGATCCGATTTTGGTTTCTCGTGACGAAGCTGAATAGAATTCGTGTGACATGTATTGTAATGATGATCGACCCTGCATCTGATATCGCTGAAATTATTGAAAACTATTACATTATTGATAATGCGTGAAAACAATACTTGGTTGTAAATTTGATAGAATGGCATTGCGTGAAATTATATCGTCTTTTGGTGTATTTAGCCTGGAGGCTCAAACAGCGAAAGTGAATAATTTCGCCCACAGCAAGAATACTCTGGAGATCCGTTCGTTTTCAGAACATGCTGGATTACATCAATATTGTTGTTTCGACTCGATAGTGTCAAACGTTAGATAAGGGTGATTTAACGCGTGTCTTTGAAACATAGTGTTGATGTCTACTATAACAATATTGATACCACTTCCAAAGGACAAGAAAGCACGTACAGGCTCAAAGCGCATGTCATTATTAACAAAATTGGGTATTCAAATTGCATTCCGAGCTCCCTTTGGAGTAAGGAACTTAATCGTGTCCCGCACAGTATTGCAGCTATTTGATGCGGTCTGCACATATTTGACGTGGACCAGAGAATCCTCACTTTCAATGATTGAAATTCTCAAAAATTACACGCAATTTGGATATGAAGACAATTGACAACCCGTCATTCGCCTCTTACATGAGTGAGTTTAGTTTTACGACGCTTTTAGAAATATTCCAGCAACATCACGGCGGGGGACACCAGAAATGGGCTTCCCATATTGTACCAATATGTGGAATCGAAGCCGAGTCTTCAGCGTCATGAGCGAACGTTTTAACCATTAGGCTACCAACCACCCCGCCTCATGAACAGTTGGCGTAAATTAGTAGTCTAACTGTATCGTAGGGTTATCCTACCGGGTACCCATTCGCTGCTTTGTGTATCACATGTATCAATGTATGAAATAAGGTATCGTTAGGTATTGACCACAACCATGAAGCATTTAATTTATTTCTTAGTGAACGTCGCACGCACCCTAGAACTATTCTAGATGTATGCCTACGGCCTGAAAATATCCGAGTCTGGAACCGTAGAGTGACCTGTGTTGTGACCAACGATGCATGTTATCAGGGTATGATCATGATAACTTGCTGTCAGCTAAGTTACCAACTTTGATCATCCCATCAATTAACTCGTCTCTTTCGGCAAGCATAGGTTGCTGAGGATCTATTCCAACATAGATCCATACGAAAAACAAATTCTGAATTTGGCGTAAGCAAAATCTCTATCATACATCCTCAAACCCAAAACACTCCCTTCAAAGCTTCGGTGCTTAATCGTAAACATCTGAAAGGTTAAAATACTATCTGTCATGTTGAAGTTGTAGTTGATGCTTGGCATCGTGAAATGATCAGATACGTTGCATGGACGGACTACACACATAAAAATCAGTGGTCCGTTACTCAAGCAGTGACAGCCCACCAACCTAAACCACATTTTAGATTGATCAGACGCATATTATAGAACACACGTACATCGCAATTTTGCCACATGTTCCTTATCGATTCACTCAAGTGCATGGACAGTGTAATTAGTATGTAGCAGGACATATCGTCGATTGGTGGAAGGTTTCGTGATCAACAACAATGGACCTAGTGAAGCCCCTTGTCGCATACCCTCTTCCACTTTCATCGACAACAACCAATCTCTTCTTATCATGTGTGAAACAGGCGGACCCTGATGATAAGATAGCACCCGTATATAATTGGACACAGTTGTTGCCCATCCGTTTCCACGCTGGTCGATACCAACTAATATCTTATTGTTACATATAAAGTAGGGGGTCCCGATGATAAAAGCCACCCGTGTATAATTGGATATCAATTAGATGTACCTACGTCATGTTTAATGTTTACATCCACTGTGATTGGGTTTTATATCCGTGGATATTATTTATTGATGCCATTCTTTGATTGATTTTGTAATTTGGTCCTAACTGATGAATATTTGAAGAAGCGAACCGTTATTTTGCTTGATAGTTCAATTTTGTTTTGATATTTTAGACGTATGCTTAATTTATGTGTCCATTGGGCCATTTAATTCTGGATATGTTCTACGCCCCATTTTGATGTTTAACGCCATATAT